AATCCCAGCACAAGATTGCTGACCGGCTCGCACTGTGGACTGGTGTTCCATAGCACATTCCTCATTATAAATAATCTGGCGCGCTGCACTAGATGTGACATGGAAGGCTGCCAATTGGCAGGACAACTTGGTTATCTCCTTAGGACGGAGATTAAGGCTGGAGTAACCCCCTTTCAGTGTGGCCTCTATGATGCTCCCACTCAGTTGGGGTTCGAGCTGCCCCCTTGCGTGAAAACCTGATCCATCATGGGCGGACTGGGTGTGCGTGACGCGCCTAGACGAGCTTCTCAGCTTTGTCACCCAGCGCGTCCGCGATTGCACCTCCGGTCTTCTAGGCTCTGTCTTGACATTGGCGGTAGGTCGGTTAGGAAGGAAAGAGCTAGTCCTCTACTCCTATAAACTAATTCATGCACAAATCACCGTCACGGCGACCACTATGCTGTGGGACACACGGGGGGCATCTTCGTTCGTGACGCTCGAACAGACAGGTGTACACAACTGGTCAATCATAGGAAAAATGTCATTAAATTGTTCGGTGGGTATGGAAGGGTGTCCCCAAAACGGGCCAAGTGGCAGATGCGCTGGACCAACACAGGGCGACATCGGATTCTGGAGGGCGCTATCGGGATGCGCACCATAACAAATGCCAGCATTTCGGGGATGCGATGACAGATTCAGTTGCCGGCTGACGTCGCGCACATTGGGACCCCTGCCGCCCCCCCCCCATTGTTGGTGATGGTTACAATCCTGGTCATTTGCTGTGTGGAGCGGAGCGCTAAGGTGCGGGCTCGACCGTGCCATCCACCTGCACCCTCCCCCGCCTCCGAGCTTCATGACTCTGTCTTGACATCGGGTCCAGGTGGGGGAGGAGAGAGTGCGGCAGGTGCTGAGTAAGCCCACATTCAGTTTAAACTAAATCACGCGCAAGTCACCGTGTCTGTTTCACCTTGATGTGGAGTACACGGTGGACATCGTCGGAAACGACGGTGGAACTATCGATCATGGAGGAGGCTCCTACATACTTTGCGTCAGCATTAATATTCGTCCGGCCTAATGACAGACTATTTTCTTATGCGGCGACTCATGTCGAACCAGGCTTATCGATGCAGTTGGATGAACATCGCACAAACTTACACTAACGATTGGCAAAGTTGAGATATTCAGGTTGATTATTTGAAGACGAAGACAGGCTCTCCGGAAGAGGTTTATTTAAGTACAAGAACACAAATCGGCCACTCGGAGGTTAGACCCTAAATCTCAACTAGCAACACACGTTGGAGAAACGGGCATACTTTTGACCTCCAGAAGGCTACCATCTTAGGCCGAGGCAACACAAAAACAGAACGGCTAACTCTCGAGGCCTGGTTCGCCGATGCCCACTCTATCAACAGGCATCTGGACATTCCTGCAGCTTACAAAGTCCTACGTCATCACAATCGTAGAGCTCAGGACCGAACAACCACACCGGACTTAGGAAGGCCGCACGGAGATAGCCCGACGCTGAGTTTACTCGGTGAGGAAGAAGAAGAAGAACCGACAGACCGACCGCCCGACTAAAGTCCAATCAGTTCCCCTCGACGGAGTGGTGACTCACAAAGCACACAGGCAAAACGCCCGTCAACCATCTCCCGAGAGGCCGAGGCAGCGAGAGAAGGAAAAAAATCGATCAGCATGAGGCCGGCCAACACAACTGCCACTTTAAATTAAATTTCTGGTCAATTAAGTGCATTTTACGATTTGACAATTAAGAGCCGACCCAGCTCTTTGAAACGTCAGCACTTAAATAAACCTCTTCCGGAGAGCCTGTCTTCGTCTTCAAATTACACTAACGAGTATACTTTACCGCACATACAATGCACGAAGATGCAACATAAGTGTCGCCAAGCCCGCCTGGCACAGTCAGTGACCGATCTTACGAAATATTAACTGGGATTCTGAAATGTATTCTCGACAAAGAAGGATAACCTTGGTGAAGTCGTAACCCTAATTATCGCTCAGCACGATCCAAAAATGGTTAGTCACACAAGGATGGCGACTATTGAATGCACTTCTTTTCAGCCGCTTGCGGAAAATGCATTCCGTGAAAAATGGCTACTTGAATAGCATATACATTTTCCGCTGATCTCCACTGCCCTTATAAAGTCGAATCTGTCTTGTAGGACACATGCACAAAAGCACACTTTCTGGTGTCCATATCGTAAATGTTCGCGTTTACCAGGGGCTGTACTTGAATAAAAAGTATCCTTCGGTTATGAAAAGTTTGTAATTATGAGACTTTCTGAGACAGCAAAATTTACTTTCAAATAGCACCATGTACTTTCGTCTATGAATGTTGTTTATGAAGCATACGATACGGTGCGCATCTATTGCAACACTTTATGAGTCCTATATGACAGCTTCTTAATGGTATTGAGGTATGTGTGATTTCACTTACGCGGGAAGTATGCGGCTTCTGGACTGTAAACCCCAAACATAAAGGCAAAACCAGATCTGGCTCAAACAATTCTATTAAAACCTAAATAGACCCTTTTTTCACGGATGAAGTGTGAAGAAGACGTGATTTCCAATTAAACGAATAAATGAAAGCCCTTTTAGTGCGCGCTTCCAATAGGATAAATTCGAATTTATAGGTGCATCGAAGATCAATAGAAAAGCAATACACTACTTCAGTAATAGTTTTTTTGTCGAATGCGGCCTTTGCAAGCGGCCGAAAAGAACTGCATTAAAAGCCGGCATCCTAGTTGCACTGAAATATCTTGGGGTTAGGCTGCATGATAACCCATATAAAAAGCCCACTAAAGTAATCCTTCCTAGTCGAAAACCCATTTCAGTTAACATTTCATGGGATCAGCCACTATAGCGTAGGCACGACTATGGTGGTAAGAACCCCTCAAAGGCAGTACACTGAAAGTTCCGCCAAACGTATCGATAAAACCTAGTATGTGCTTCAACTCGCCTTCGCCATCTCCTTCTCATCTGTGGTAACCATCCTTGTCTGCGGGCCAAACCAGATGAGCGTCCGGCGCGTGTTTTCACACCAGGAAGTCCTCAAACTCCCTCCCCCCACCCCCCAAACAAGAAAGTCCTACGGACAGGGCGGCATTCAATGCCATGAGCTGCTCAGGCTAACTCGGGTCGTCTTCTCCCTAGAGGAAAGCCGTGATCCACAGTGGAAGTCGGCAGTCACATGAGACGATTTAAGGGCCCTTCTTTGGGCAACACCGCTTATACCCTCGCCCCCAAAAACTGCTGGTAAAACACGCCGCCGCCATGGGGTCGGCAGCTGAAACAATTATCTTCATCTCCTCCTCTAGGTCTGTGCGGAACAAAATCTTCTCCTGACCCACAACTCATTCGGTTTCCTAATGAGGGAGAACCCACGTGTTTTAGCCCTCGGTCGCATCATTGGCATCTGCTGGACGACGCCTTAGTTCGGAGGCGTGAACAGCGCGGCGTGCTCGTGACCAGGACGATGGGTGGCACTAACCGCTAGACAAACCGCCGCTTTTTCATTCCCAAGATGAGACTCCAACTGCAGTCACGCAGGTGACCGCAAGGCAAGTTAAAGACTGTATTACTTGATACGACTGAGCGCTAATTGAATTTTAGCAGCTGCATGAACTCAGGGCTGGAAATGCGAACCCTGAAGGCGCGCACCCATGTTGAAAACTAGTGGAGGGAATTGTGAGATTCCACCCAGGCCACCGCGACGCAAACCCTGGGACGCGCACGCCGTCAGTACCAGAATTGGTCTGATGACAGTGAGGACGGAATTGGCACTCGCTTCTCCAGGAAGCAGTTCGCACATAACCCCTACCATCAACCGCAGCAAAGCCGATAAAGCAGCATATTTCCGATGCCAACGGTCCGCACGGCAGAGGCTAAGGGAGATGCAGAACGACTGGCTGACTCACAGAACTGGGGCGATCTAGGGATATACCGACCGTGACGATATGAGGAGTATCTTCGCTGCAAGCAATGCGTAACCACGGCTTTTCGACACCCTTAGATAGAAAGCAACAATCCAAAACCACATTACGAGAATGCTCTGAAAAGCACAGGTAGATCCTCGAACACACGTTTCTGCCCCACCTGTTTAAAAGATGCTCGGTTTGTCGGAGGTCGTCCCAAAAGACGGGAAAAAAAAGCTGAGCTACGCATCAGAGCAGATCGACAAATCAAAGCTACCATAACTTGAATTTGGTCTAGGAGACTTGTGTGGTGTAAGTCTCAGACGTAAGAGATCGCCGCACAAAAATCTCAATCTCTATTAGGCGTACACTTATGTGGACCCGTACGGTGTCTTTATAAATCCTCAGATTTCAGGAAGGAGTCCGAGTACGTTGCTGCAAGCGCGTAACTGGCAGTGAAATTTGCAGTATGTTTGTAAAGCAGACCGTAAGGGTTATGCTTGACAAAGGACACCCTGTACTGGCCGTAAATGGGACGACTTGCGTGATGTCGAAATTGCCTCCCTGTACACCACCATAGAGATAAGAACGTTTTGCAGTTGGGCATCGGAACAGAACGCCCCGAATTGTAGGTGCCCTAGCCCTGCATTCTGCGGGGGGGGGGGGTTGAGATAGTTAGAGTTAGTTTCGCGAGGGTTAATGATAGGGCTAGAAGAGTCGGGATCGTGGTAGATGTTAGGGCTACATTTCGGACAAAAGAATAAGCATCCGCCTGAAATTTGGTACGAGGCCACCTGTAGTACTGGGGTGGGGGAGGGTGCATATTTCCGTGTCCGACCCATTTTCCTTAACGATATCGGACAACCCCTGCGCGAGCAGAAGACGACATACTGCAAACTTCTGTGGACTCTGGCCCCTGCACAGTGGACATGCTGATGGCGGGTAGAACGAAGTAGAAACAAACAATAGCTCATTGTTCAGAGACAATCAAAAGTGAACGGAGGAGGGGATGGGTGGGGCGTTACAGTAGTCCGAGATCCTTCTCAAAGGAAAACCTGGCAGGTGTTCGGTGGGGACGATAGGCTCTCATCACTTGAGGGTCAGAATGACAGAAGAATTAAGCAACTTTGCGTCGGCAAGAGTCTCGTCCTCGTTGTTCAACTCCTTCCGTGGAAAGGCCGTGATGAGGCCGAAATGTTGACTTTGGAATTCCGGCCGTTCACTGTATTCGCAGTCGAAGAAGGACAGATTAAAAGATGTGTCCGTGGGTAAAAGATCACTTGAAACTATATAACTGTTGAATATCTAAGAATTTACTTTTGCATAACTGGTAAATTTATAATACAGAGTCATAATAACATTACGGAACAGGACAAGGGGGACTGGGGTGACCATTTCTGGCTTATTGGCCGTCACCAACCAGGCGTACTCAACCCCAGTTTTGCCACTCCTAAGGCTCGATCCCGTGGCACGTTGGGTAGATGTCAAACGCTCGAACCACTGAGCCACGGGCTCGTTGTCCCATAAGTTGCCGTCGGGCATATTGACAGTGGTAGAGGGAGGCTCTCACGGATCGCGTTATGGGACACACAAGTTCCGTTGCGCCTTGGGGCTCAATCTCCAGCCCCGCCACCAGCAGCATAATGGCTAGACATATGGGCGGAATAACATTGTTGACCAAGATATGGGCGTTGGGTGTCTAACTAACAGGTCGCAAGATCCAGTCCCAGGGCCTACAAAGTCTGGGGTGGAGTTTGGCTAACTGGTGACGGTTAACACGCCAGAAATGACAATTCCATCAACCCTTGTTTTATTCAGTGACTTTATTCTGTCTACATTTCTAATCGTCGTGCCGGTGCCCGCGGGGCTCGAGGTTGAGCCTCAAGACACAGGGGGATGAGCATCTTCCGTAACGCGATCAGTGAGAGTCCATTCTACCACTGAAAGTATATAGTGAATATACAATATAATCATTCCAGAATGCCGAAAAAGACGAGGGAAACCTAGACTGCTATCTCTGCCTTACTGACCGTCATCAGGCAGTAATACCGAAATCCGGGTCTGGATGACACAGGGTGGCATCCGGACTCTTTGGTCCTTGAGTGTTAAGTAGATTGAGCTCCAAGATGCAACGAGACAAGCATGCCTCGTATGTACCTGTACTGTACTTGATACGGCTGTGATCATGCCTGACCTAGCCGTACCTCTCCACGCGTGACGATCCGCGGCAGCAGATCTGGACAGCTCAACCCAAATTCGCAAATTCGGAAAGTGAGTCTTCGTATCACAGAAAACAATACGGACCTTCCCTTCCTTCAAACAGGTTGTCTAACCGCCCGAAGACGCCGGTTTTCGAGGAAATGAAGATAAAGGCTAAAAACTTGCATACTGCAAGAGGTGTTGCCGTTTGCTGTGTGCAAAAATACCACGTTCTAACGGTGTGTCGACATTCAGGAAACAGAGGTGTACTTTTCGGAAGAAAAAAAGCCCTAGATTGCGAAAACTAGCTAATGTATAATGTAAAATCTTATTGTTAAAAAAGTAAAGGGGGTAAACATTAGAACCTACCCCAGGATGGCAGAACGCAGATCACTCACTCTATGGTCGTTGTTGAGTTTCACTAACAACCTGTAAAGGAAGATTGATAGGTTGTGATAAAGTAGAAAAAGCATAACAGAATGATTTAGAGACCGCAACCCCCGCGATGACTGAAACGCACCAATCACCCTCATATAACCGAGTTCACTTGCCAACAGGTGTCAGACTGCACTCGTTGCGGGCCTTAGGGGTTCTAGGAGCCAAAAATCAGGATTGGTACGGCCATTTACGGATGCCCAACTGCTTGTGGACAAGTATTGAAATGGACGGTTAGCAGTTAAGAGGTGCCGCTCAGCCCTGCAAACTGATTCCGTGTTTCCCTTACGAGTCGCGCATGTGGGACAAGTAAAATTGGCCAATGAAGTGAAAAAGGGTTCACTAATAATTACTACCATGGTCTGTAAGGAGCCAGACTATCGTAATAGATCGCCCTGTCATGCAACACCAGGTCGGCACAAAGGGGTCTCCCCTGACGGTCTTGACAGTCTTATCGAGCAGGCCAGTGTTGCCGAGACAATGCAACTTCTAAGTGACTTCGACTACTCCCGGCCACTGCCGACAGGGCTTAAACACGTGATTCAACTGATAGAGCAGTAAGCTTGCTGACCAACTGAATTGGGGTCCCAACCTCAGGTCTTCTTGACCTGGGAGATATGACAAACAGCTGATGAAAGATAATCCCGGAACACCCATCTCCCGTTTTTGTCATTAATGTATCGGTTACTACTTCCAACACCGTCAGCCAGCCTTGGAGGAGCCACTAACAAAGGTCTACAATTTCAATGGGTTTAGATGTCAGCATAAGATGCTTTAGAGCCGCGCTTGTTTGAGTAAAAGGTAATGAGATTTCTTCAGATGCTGAACTCGAGTATATAGATTTCCCAATAGGACACTGTGGTACTGATATAAAAGAGGAAAGTGTGTTCACCTGGAGCCGTCTGGGAGCCTAACTTGGATTTGTGTTGAGGGAAGGGCCTCGTCCACATGGGGAACAAGAGGACGAGGCGCATTAGTAGGTGCCGGTTTGTTGAAAACGACACGAGGGGTAGGATTGCCTAGCATGTGGCCGGTACCTGAGAAAGCCTTGACTTTTGGGGCTGGAGGCGGCGTCCATGATTCAGTGTGGTGGTCTTCGAGGAGCACATGAACTTCCATATTTGAAGTGGATATCAGCTCCTAAAAAAGGGCAGGGTGTGGCGCGGCTAAGGCTGAATGCTCGGGAATCAAAGTTTGGCATAAAATATGGAGCAAGTTTGTGGATTGGTTATAGGAAAAATATGCACGGTGGGAAACCTTAAACTAATTCTCTCAAAAAGGGAATAATTTTCGAAAATTTTTTGAAGAAGTGGTGTGCTTTTTTCAGGACTCCACATTTGGTCCCAGACCACTAACTACTTCCGTTCTTTCGACTTGGCAACCACCGCTTAGTTGAAGATGTTTGCTCTGAGGTGGTAGAGTAGAACGTGAGAAACATCAATATCCTCCGGAGACGCTTTATTTACCAAAAGCAATCAGCTATTGAACAAACATGTCTGCTTCCTTATGATATTTAGTCAGAATAGGATATGAGGAATGAACATGGCATAATTTATAAACTGCCGGACGGGTAATTCTATCAGAGATAGGAGTTCCCAGAAGTGAATGTCGAGGAATAACCAATGGACGTGAGAGTTGTAGGAAAACAAAGTAAAATGAGTCTGTAAAAAGGGCAAAACTTACACGTAAATAAAAAAACCATCATGACAAGAGCTGCTAATGACTAATATTTGCCAAAGTTAAAACCTAACCCCGCTCAGGGGCAGCCAGGCTACGAGATAACAAGCGAAGCACTATTGATGTCTCAGCTAGCACTAGGGCCGATTCGGATAGCTTCAGAATCACATTGTAAGTTCTGTACGCGCAAATTCGAATGCCTGTTTTCCAAAAAGAGTTTCGCATGGGGCAAAAAAGTGTAACCTAGGCGAAGAGTCCAACAGAAACATGCAAAATCTGACATATAACAATTATTCGATAAACACGTGTGTTGATAACAGTTCGCTCTGTAGCAGGTTTGCGCTCTGTAGAGATGTGCGCGGTCGGCTCGGACGGCCAGTGTGTGGAGAGGTTTTCGAAATTTTGGTGGGGCGGGTCCGGCAGAGGAATTTTCGTGGACGGAGAAACAAGGTATGAGGTAGTTGGAAGCAGCCTGGGATTCGCGGCTTCTACGCTGACCACTATTTATTATGCTCCCACGTTTTATGCACCAAGTGTACAAACGAGATTTCCCTGAGAACATGGTAACTTTGGCAGCTCTTTACTCGTGCATAAGTCGCTGGCGGAAATGAGAATGAGGGATGGAGGGTTAGCTCTAGTCGGACATGGCAGTAGCATGTATTCCACAAAGGGACGGTGACTTGCGCGTGAACCAGCTTATCTTGAAGTAGGTCTGAGCAGCATCTGCCGCACACTATCCTCCGTCAATCACCTGTGTCTGGTGGCAAGACGGAGTAAGACGGCCGGAGGTGAGATCAGGCGCAGCGGCTGACAAAGCTAAGCAGCCCCTCTGCGCGTGCCACACACGGCATCACCACTACTACTACTGCTGCTACTACTACTGCTACTGCTACTACTACTACTACTACTACTACTACTACTACTACTACTAGCACTACTACTACTAGCACTACTACTACTACTGCTACTGCTACTACTACTACTACTACTACTACCACCACCACCACTACTACTACTGTTACTACTACTAACACCGCATTCAGAATCGAAGTTCGTGCGGTTTCACCGCATTTGAAATATGTTAAAATGGTCGCACTTTCGAAATCGGCTAAAATAGATGGCAAAAATCACTTTACAAGCGGGATACTTGGCAACACTTTCGCAGTCTTAAAAGACGAGACACAACTCGTGAAGACAAGGAACGTTCAAGTCCCGGAATATAGCAAAAAGGAGCGGTCAGAGTACAAATTTGGAGAAGCACTTAAAAACCCTATCTCCGCTTGGCGGAGGGTGAAGGCTGGGGGAAATAGCCCGCAGAGTGGGAACAAAATGGGGGGGGGGGGAGGGGAGCATGTAACAAATTTCAGATCTAAAAAAAACTGTGAGTAGGCGAGGTTTACCCTAGGGATTTGACCCCGCTTGATGCACTCCATAAACTCCTGAGATTCGGGGTCGGTGTAGGGACGAAGAGGGCCGTCATCGAGACTGAACCCGTCCTGCCACATTTTCACAATCACTGTCCGCTCCTGCTCACTCTCAGGCTTTGTCTGCTCGCCTTGAATCACGACAGCGGGCTCATTTAGAGTCTCGCCAAGCCTACGGTAGGGAAAAAAGAGACGGGAAACGCGGTCACTAAGTAGCCTTGGTCACAAAATGTGTGACACATGATAGAAATAGAATTAACCTGGGGGACGAGGAAGAGGAGAAGGGGGGAGTCAAACGATCGAAGAACAGAGAAAAATAAACGCCGTGACAGAAGCCAGTTAGCTCTGGAGGCAACAAGACGTCGTGGGTCGAGAAGTTATAGAAGGATAAAGGTTTCAGAACGAAGGTGAGCGCTTCTGCGATGAGGATCAGGAAGGTGGAATCGTTCAAAACATGCCCACTTCTTCAGTTATCACGACGCCTTTGAAAACCGGCAAAGGCATTCGCTGGACGCCTCAATACATGTTTCCTGAAAATAATTTTTCTCCTTTACGGGATCTGGTTTTACTGGTCGACTCGTGTCAAAATTTAAAAAATTCGCGAAAAAATAAATTTCTGATGACAGACTACCTTAACATGTCGAAGATTATCATGATTGATTTTCCAAACTATATACCAGGCACACCAGGTGGTACGCAGTTTATAAGAGGTTCCGAATTGAAACAACCAGCTGGGTAAACAGGTGATTGTTTATGGAGCCTTGTAAACTTTTGGTTGAAAAACTTTCTCCTGTAAGGAGGACAACAGACAGCCGAGGCACTAACAAAGACTCCCACTAATAAAAAAAAACATGTTACCGGGTAAGTGCCGAGAAGAAAATGGGAATGACTTTTCGCAGAGATCGAAGCTAAGAAACCTCCAAAGTCCGGTTGAAAGGCTGACGTAGGTATCCAGATTTGGTGTACTAAATGTCAAGCTTCTAAATTAGAACATTTCCGATGAAAAACTACGAAACTGTCGAGCTAAGGAGCCTGCGCCGAGTTATTCATCTTTGAAAGAATGGAAGAAGCGCTTCTCAGCTGGGCGCATATTCAATATTTCCTCATTTTCGGCAAGCCTTATGGCTGTGGGAGTTCTCCGTTTTTGCCACTAGAAATGCTCTAATTGTCAAAATAACGGACTATGCTAAGTTGGCCGTTGCTACCAACGAGAATCATCGCAGCTTCCGTGCCAGCAACGGTGACGTACAGGTGAACTGCACCATGGTGAGAGAGTGAGAATTGTATGGGAGGTCAGGGGACAGTAGTAGCTTTGATAGGTTGACTGTCACGAATGGTGCAATGCCGACGCAGATTCAACTTCGATGATGGAGAGGCCACTGATGGGCGCCTGAGATGACAACTCTTCTAAGACGACATTGCTATAAGAGCTTGCTGAAAAGGACACCGCGGAGACCTCACTCAGGTTTCTGGGGTTCAATCAAGAGTCCTGCGAAACCATCATAGGGGACCGGTAGACACAGCGAATTAGCGTGGAAACCGGAGCAGTGACTGTCAAAGGGAAACAACAGAGAAGCAAGACCTGAGAGCTATGGCAATGTGCCCGAGTGTCGATCTGCTATCACCTCAATCGGTGGGCGTATTTAGGTGGCCGCTTCCCCTCGGGTCTAAAAATAGGAAGACTTCTGCAAACTGACTGCTGTTCATGGCATCCAACGATGACCTATGATATTGCTGCATCAATCGTACGACTGTCAATGTCTGTTGCCCTCCTATCTGCGACTACACAACATTAGCCTCAACACACAAGCATGAAACTTCACCGAACTGTGTGAAACGACGCCGTAGTAAGAGCCGTCATCCGTTGAGCCATGCTAGTAAGCGTCTAACAATGGCGATCACATGGAGGGGACGCTCAACGAACGGAGAGCCAGACTGGTTCGTCTTACCCCCTTACCATCTAACCACGGCAGAGTAGTGACAAGTAGGCAGTATTTGAGTGACATGCAACGGCAAGATTGGAATGGGCATCGCTGTTTTAATTTCCGTCGTTGACAGCCAGTCAGACCCGAACGGCAAATCATGCAGCATATAGTGCGACTGGCTCAAGGTCAAGTCTCACAACTTGGAGGCCTGAGGTTGGAGTGTGGCTGGTTGATGTCACGCAAGTCCAAAATAGACATTGCTGTGCCTGCGTGTCAGTAAATCTCTCTTGAGTGGTCACTAAGGTTCCCACCGGTATTGACACAGTGTTACCGGAATCAAAAGCCTCCAAGAACGGTAAAGGACCAAGGATGAATGGTACACCCCTCGAGGAATCGGATTGACGCTCGAGTTTGTGGACACGACTCGTTACCCGAGTGGCAACGATCGGGTGAGGGACCCCAAACACACACGACTAGCCAAAGGTGCCTGTCTTACGGGAAAGATGGTAATAGGGGTTTTACGGGCGGGGCTATGTATGCATAGCGGAATGGCAAAATAAGTATGAATAATTGATAAATTTGTTTTTCGGGCGGAAAAGCCCTAAGGCATTGACAAAAAGCAACTGAAATTAAGCAGGACAATAAAAAAATAAACATTAAATGTCTACGGCGATCGCTTCCCGACTTTCTGAGCTAAGGTCATTGTAAATAATGCACTAGATCGTTTACAACAGATGATCCAAACTTTTACGATGAAACACCAAACCAAAATAATCGTGTCGGACTAAAACCCACTCAAATAAGTGTAGTAGGTATCCTTTGTATGCCACAGATGCTTGGGGGCCTTCATCCGATCCTTACCCGAGTGAGTAGTGCAGGTTGTCACCCGACAATCATTCCGGAAGGACAAGGCTTCAACTAATGTCCCTTACAATAGTAATTATTATAATCCGTCGTGAGACTGGCCAGGAAGTACAGTGGCCCGCCTTACCATTCGTACTAGTCGCACACTTTCTTATGAGGGAATTTTTTTATGAGAGGGGAAAGTATATTAAAAGCGAATACCCTAGAACGACAGTGCTACCTTTGGTCGATGACGTGGTGACTGTAGGAAACGGAAAGGACTGAGGAGGATGGTGTGTTTGACGTTTGTCCTGAGTGCAAATAGAGTCGAAAGTCGCGATGTCCAAAAAAGTGTAAAGGGCAAACGTTCACCTGTAACCGGCTCCTGTGAAAGCTGGATGTCGATTAGACTCCAGATCGGAGACGCGGGCGCTGCTCAGGGTCTCGGCACCACCCTCGCGAGCCTGTTGAAATACGTCACGCACAAAATCCTCTGGGTTTCGCACACGAGGACCCGCGGATCCGCTTGGACCTTTCTTGGGACGCGGAGGACCAAGCACCTGTTGACCTCCGCCACCGGTCTCAGCGCCTCCAACGTAGAAGGCCTGATTATCGTCCTCCGAATTTGGGCTGTGTGGGCTATTAGGATAGGATGAGAAAGAAGATAAGTGACAGGCACGTCAGGGGATGTGGTTCAGGAGCTGAAATAGTTGGAACAGTTAACATATTTGATAGCGGACACCAGTCGTCATGTCGGAATAACCCTCGGCCTTGTTAATTACTAGTAGGTTAGTGACACGATAGATCAGAGAGCGATCAAGAGTCACGAGATTACCTCGAAATGATCAGTCCGTACATGTCCAAGCTACTGGAGAGGCGCTGAACAGCCCAATATGGCGATCTGAGGTCTCATCTGAAAAAGCCTTGACTGGTTTACGATTCCTTCTACGCCCAAGCGCATGCGTTCAAGTTGGATCCAAAGCCATAAAGTACGACGATAGCTCAATGATTCGGAGCCACCGAGGGGCCCTTAAATAAACTTTGCAGCCCTATGTTTCGCTAGGGACGAATGATGAGGGCCTGTCTGTAGGGAAACCTCTCGCGACATTATTAAGTATGTTGGAGCACAACATCATGGTTCGAGCGACAACGTACGCAGGGTCGAGTGCGCTGAGCAGCCGTGGAGCAGAGGCGCGAACGAATAGAAAGCTGAACCACTGGCATAGGATTCCGGTATGGGGAAGCGTTCGTTGGCTTAGGTATCTACCCTAACAATGCGGAGTCCTCAGCAAAACAAATGTAGATACCTGATGCTTAGAAAATCCGAATTTTACTTACTTCCCGGAAGCCGATGTTCCTGGAATGGACACACTCGCTCTGTTCCCTACGTCAACGCTTAATCCGACGTCTCTGAAAGGAACGGCGAGATGACTGACTAAACCAACGGAATTAAGCATTTACATAGGTTGCGATATATACCATACTTGACAGTACAGGTAGTAGCTAAAAGCTCAGACGCGTGTTTTGCAAAAATTCTGCCGCTGCATGACACATCTGGGAGAGGTTGGGCTCGTCAGTGGGTCGCCCAGCGTTCCCAGTGGGCATTCTGGTGGATACTCCAGTTTTAAGCTAGTACCTATACTGTCAAGTATGGTACATCACGCAACTTATGTATATACTACTGACTAGCTGTGGGTAGTTTATGAATCATACGCGGTTATTCCGATATGGCTGACGGACTTCCGCCCACATATTAATATCAAATTTCGGTCTGCGGACTACGGATGGACATAAGAAACAACCTTAAAGGAGATAACGAGGGCGGCAGCAATACCAAAAGCGCTGCAGGAAACATGGTCAATCCCGGTTGGCGATGTATCTAAAGAGTTGGTTGCTGTGGCCACACAAATTGCGGGTAACGTGGGATTCAGACAAAAAACAACATTCAAAAGGGCGTAGCAACGATGAAAACCAAATTAATGAACTGCTGTAGAGTGCTTTGTTAAAATGCGCACATACTTTTGCTGAGAAATTGTGGAAAGGGTTGCTATTTTTGCGGAGCTGCTTTTAGGCGGAAGAGGAGGAGCAGGTGGACCGGGTTCTGTCTGTGGAATTGAATTGCTGCCAGACTGCATGCCAATCGGTACTGCAGGCTGCACAGGGTGCGGTTCGTCAATGTCACTGTCATCATTTATGAAATTCTGCACGGCCTCCTACAGAATCGAAGCAAAGTTTAAGAAGGGAAAGTAAAACAGTGGAGAAAAAACCCAGCAAACTTGATCAATTGGCATGTCACCGGGTTAGATGTTTGAGTGCTATCCGTTCGAGACAAGGTTCATGTATGTTTGCTTACTTACCTTTGGACTTTGCCAGAATTTCGGCGAGTTATACAGAATTCCATGGATAAATCATTATTAATTTTGGAGGAAAGTCTAACAAAGCAATCGGTTACCATATGAGGCGAACTTCGAAATTAATTTGTCTATCAAAATATCCAATATTTTCTCGAAAAAGAGTCCCTCTGAGGTGCATATATTGGCTGCTGTTACAACAGAATGCGAACTGCATCGTTCCGCCGCTTAAAAGACAACTAAGGTCGAAAGGGCTCTGAAGTTTACCTATCTGGTCGTCTTTGGCCACTGCGCTCTTGAGCTGAGCATTAGTTCGGTTTTGGTCCTTGCTATTCGTAGTTGTGCACGAGAAAAAATGGCCTACCCAAGAAGGGGAGAAAAAACCTCACTCGAGACAGCATGTAAAAACTTAAAGAAAAGTCAGTAGGGTGCGTCTTATCACCAAAAACTTGAAAACGAAGTAGCGGTGAACAGATGACAGAGTAAAAAAGAGAAAAACTAGCTAGGAAGATGTGTCATCACGCTACAGGGGTGACAACTCGGTGTGTGTGAGTGACTTGAGCATTTCGAGTGACCTATGATAACATAGCCGAAAATTGCACCTACGTTAATTTTACTGAAAGGAAATGAAGCAGAAAATAGTGAGAATACGGTGACGGCTCTTTGGTGGGTGTCATAATTCGGAACGACTGATACGAAGGCACTTGCGGGGGGTTGCCGAACATTTGACCCAGACCTGGTCCAATAAATGGTGGAGCGATTGGCATTTTTGTTCCGAATTCCAGTTGAATCGCAGATGAAACCCCAACAGCCATCCGCCTTGTGCCAGATTTTCTAAAACTGTCTCTGAAAGTTCAGACCCAGATTGCGAGACCACGTGAATTTTTGGCAGGAGCTTGTCTCTATCTAATCTTAGACAGATCGCGGTGTGGTTATTGACAGAAGGTTGTACCACGACCGTGAGTGCTTTTCTCTCGAGCACACAGGAACTCGCATGTTGCTGACAATCTGCACATGTGAGATACATATAGAACTGGTCTGTGTGAGAGGATTTCTAACAATACGACCTGAGCGAGGTCCCCTCACGCATCTTCTCGGCTTATTTCAAAAAAACGTATTCGCAAGTTTTACCGTGTCCATTGCCGGTCACCAGACGAGCTGCACTTTCGATCCCGTGAATATCACGCCTAATCGTCTGGAGAAGCAAAACAGTTGAACTACGGGGAAATCTGTCACAACGGCAAAAGAAGTACAGAGTCAGTGGTCAAGACTTAATTATAGATAGTAGAGACAGAACTGAATAAACACCACAAACTCCATCTGTGGCGAAGTTTCCCTAACGGTGTGGTGAGAGTCGATCGAATTAATCAGATAAGACAGCCGAAACTATAAACGGGTAATGGGGCAAGTTGTCCTAATTGTCCTATAACCTAGCTGATAGGACATCAGTTGCAGTTTGTAGTAGTTTGGGAACATAAATCTGACCTAGTGCGGCACTGACACTCGACAGCAAGCAGCATCCATGCACAACGTGACTTTGTGAAAGGGACTCGCAGACAATGTGGACAAAAATAACGCCACGTGGACACATTAAAGACCTCCCTTGGGTGCGTCTATACAAAACCCGATGCCTGGGTAACAATTTGGAAGAACTGTTATGCATGGCGAATAACCGAAAAAGTTTGAGTACTTATTTTCGGGGTCAAACGAATGGAGAGAGTCGGTAGGAAAGGGCAGGCATGCAAGAATAAAGTGCAGCGAAACAACCCCAACGTTCGTGGAAGTCTCGACATGACCTTGCTCGACATCTGAGGATTCCCTATAATGTCAACACGATCAGCCCACCCTCTGGATAGCAAAAAAACGCAAAGGAAATCCTCTTCCACCTTCTCTACTGTAATATGATCTTTCGTCTACGTTTGCCTTGGTCAGACACCCTAGCTACCAAAACTGGGAAATTGTAAGGCGATTACAACTGAATCAAATTATGACCACGGAACCCAATCATGCATTGTCCGGTTCGGACACCTGCGAACCTGTGCTTGAGGTCACGACCAACAGCCATTATATGGATTCAAAACGTCAGGCAAATAAAGTTCCTACTACGACGGTCGGACCTCCTGCCTCGACCGCCTTCTGAAACTCGTCTTCTTCATTATGCGCGCTCTCACTGCACACACACATTTAGGCACTGCAGGGGCCTATCCCGTTATAAGCACATAACGTGACAACAACTAGTAAGACCTGACCCAGCATTCTCACTCTGTTGTCATGTATTCGGTCGCCGCATGGATCCTAACAGCCAGATGCGCATATATTAAAGTCACTCACCACTCACGTATTAATCCTGCAATGAAGTTTACCAGCATACGTGCGTGTGCGCGTGGCACGCGAAAGGCAGAGGCTTTGTCGCCCAGTAGTGTCTAATATCCTCGTCAGTTAACCGAAAGACTTGAACAAGTCACAGGTAATGGAACAGGCATGAAGGAATGAGATTGCCCTAAATTAGTTTCCTCGATGTAAATAGCTGTGTGCGCTTCGAAACTATCATGACGTGGTAGCAGTCGTGGTCGGGACAGTTTCGAATTGACGTACACTGCTCAGAACTGGGGTATCAGTCCGCGATGGCTCCTTAATGTGGCCTTCATGGGACTTTCACCTATGTGAGATGCACGATACTGTCAATGAAGGTCAGCAAGTGCGAGGTTAAAGACCAGATTATATATGGGCTCGTAATCAAATTACTTGGCCTTATAAATCAGTGCGCCTACGTCACACATCCTATCACTTCGACTTTGACTTGCTGCCAGTCTGGCGGGTGCTAATGGGAATGAGATAGATGCGACGCATGTCCACCTTACGATAAAAAAAAATTTGTGCAGGTTAAGACTGCGCTCTATCTGGAGTGATGGCGGGTTCTATTGCTGAAACCGGCAAACGATTACTCAGCCGACACCTGCTCAACTCGGTGTTGGAACTACAAACCCTTAACTTATTTACTACGTCTAGACGCTCGCAGACTTGGTAGCCAGCGATTTTTGGGTGCTTCCTTAGGGACCTTCACCAAGGGCCTAGTAGAACAAATTGTGCACACCAGATACTGCCTCATAATTCATTCGGAACTCAACTTTCCAGGAAGAAAAGGAGACAAAATATGTGCATTAATCCGTCGAAGACAGCCCGCCAAACATGCTGTTGGCGGATGGTGGATCTTGTCAAAAGCAACCTAGTCATACTTGTAGATAAGTATCAGAACTGAATGACAATAATGGGAAAGCACTGCATCTGAAGACACCAGAATGACTCAAAAATTAACAAATGTCGTCTTTAGCATTCAAGGACACGGAAAATCCAGAATATTTTAGCCGGAGTCAAGTAGACCTTTGACAGTAATTGAGGCGCTCCTACACACGAAATCCAATATGTGTGGCATTTTGACTCAACCTGGGTCACAAAATGCAAAGTCAGTTGTTTCCCGTTGGTATGTGAGAAATCAGGTCAAATCAAAGTACCAACGACATTAGAAATGTTCTCGACAAACTGATCGCCCTTATCGGGATGGAAAGTAAACGTATTTCAAAATGGCTTCGTGGGAGCTTCCCAAACAAACACTATATTGAACGTACGAATTGGCTATTTTCCTGTCATGTCCGTCCTCGTATAAAAATAAAGACTCATAAGTGAAACGGTCTCTTTGAATTACAGTGACCTTACACAGCAACAGTATGATCTAACTGACGAGATATTATAAGGGAAAAAGTTTTTGCAAATGCATGAAAATACGTCCGCATTTAGCCTGAATTCGTCAAATTTTTGGGTCCAAATGTCACTTTATCAGTCTTATGCGAATGGTGACAGCCTAGGTAGATAAACACTCATATCACCGGCTGGCCAGTGTCCGATAAAAACTAAATCAAATCGTGAAATATTCCGGTCGTGTCAGCACATAAAATCGTCAGGCAATCTCCATCGATGGGTAAGCAGAGGGCAGTTTATCGCTCCTGTTCGTGAGTGACTGTACAATCGTTTGTTGCGGACAAGAAAGCGAGTTAACCCTTGGCAAAATTATCTGTCAAGTTGGTGAGAAGCCCTAGACACTTAGTTGATCTGTTCGCGATGTGAATGGAAACTTTACTGCTGACAATTCGGCTGTCGACTGCCGGCGCTAGCACTTCGAGCGCCTCAACTTTGATGAGCAACTCATCACACGCTCGCTTTCTTCTCCGGCGGTTTTTCGTCATTATCCAGCTTTTGCTGTGTCGTCCGATATCTTTTGATAGAAGCCGATAAATACAGAGACTGCGCAACAATACGGCACCCGAAGAGGACGGTATCCTCGTTGAATTCTGCAAGCCTTGCACGAACACTGGCGCCCTGGCCCCATGAGGCGATTAAACAAGCGTGGAGAGATGAGGTAGTTCCTAATGACAGGGGCTCGGGAATCCTTGTGTCTTTCTTTAAGAAGGTAGATGAGGCAGTGAGAAAACTGCCGCGACATAAGCCTTATCAACATCGCTGCGAAATTCTTCACTGTTGTCCATCCCTGACGATTCTCCTCTGTGCGCGACTTTTGGACAAAGTTCAACCAGGCCAGATCCCGCGCAGGGCGTGGATGTGGGAATCAGATGTTCATACTGAGATGCATTCTAGAATTTCGCCATAACTACCAATGACCGATGGCCGTCTGCTTTAATGACTTCACCGCTGCGCATGAATCCGCTCACCACGAGTCCCTGTGGCGAATAGCGGAAATTGACGATTTTTTGGGCCAAAATCATGGCCATGACCGAGAATTAGCATTGCTCGAGTGCTCGTCCATAACGAACTTTCCTAACCGTTCAAAATCCTATCTGATTCTCAATAAGGTTGCATCCTGTCACCTATTCTGCCCATCTAAGCCATTGACTGGATTGCCGGATGGGCCCTACACGGTTTTGTAGGTGTAACGTCCACACCTGGGCGCGGGCTAACTGATCTAGACGCTGACGATATCGCATTGAAGGTCTCAAGCTTTGGTTATCTACAGTCATGGTGTCATGAGCGAATGGAGTCGATACTTCAATTTGTTTATCCATAGGTGTTAGAAAGACCAAATTATTTTTGCGCTGCGTCTCTGACCAGAAGAAAGCACCCTTTGGAATAAGTAGCTGTCAATTTGGAGAATTAGACAGTCCAACTAACTCGGGGCGAGATTGCTGTCCAGTGACCAGGAGTAAGGACGACATTGTCCCCCGAGTCGGTGCTGCTCGCATGCATTTTTCAATCCTTAGAAAATGCACGTGGAACCGACGCGATATCTCCACCACCACGAAGCTGCGCAGGTACTGTGCATTAGTCCGGTCCGTCCACCGCAACGGTTGTAAATGCTCGACGATGAGCGTAGAAAATGGGCTAAAACTGGAAGTATCTAGACACCGCTGATTGAGGATCACCCTTCTAATGGGGTTTGCCGACTTCTTCTCAAATGAGACAGTCAGCACTCGTTGCGACAATATCAGGATATTCCACGCCATTTAAAAAGACGGCTGTGGTTTGGGAACATTCGCCGTCGTCCGCCCCACGAGCTCAGTTATACTGCCTCCGATGCGGCACCGATACCCTCCTGGAGACGTTGAAGAGGATGCCAACTCAAAACCTGGCTAGAAATGGCTTGTCAAAACATGGACGTGGTTCTTGAACCTTCGGTATTCCGTCTTCTTCGACGGAGAAGAGAATGGATCGAGTCGTCCAGATTCGTTGCCGCGCATCTTCACATATGGCGAGGAACGGTAAGTGACATTATTGAGACTGGTTACATCAGGCATTATCACAATCGCACTAAGTACAAGTATGTACAAGCACTAGCTACTGGCTATCCGGCAGATAGTGAACGCCCATCAGTGAAAGTTAAATACAATAAAGGCTTCATCTAGAGCCTGGCGAATAAGCAGTGGCAAACCAGCAGTGATAGTGCTATAACAACATGGAGGGCTATGGTTTGGCATATGGACTGCCGTATAAAATGCTGTAAAGCCCGGTGACGGCACCGTGACCTAGTGACTGTGAACCGCTATTGAATAAGTTCGCCTATCACTACTCCCTTGTGACTGGGTACTTAGGCCGAAGCGACAGAGAAAACTTGAATAAACGATCGGAACGCCTGTTGGGGACCCGTCTGTACTTAAAATACGCAAGAGGCCCCACGAAATGTTCGGTTCAAGCTTCTTGAGAACTGTTGCGATAACGTTTGCAAACATGTTAAGTAGGCTTATGCAACAATTGTTCTAACAGCGATTCTGAACTTTCTTAAGTATTGGCGCACGGAGTATCGTTCGAGACTGCGTGAGGTGCCCCTGCTACCCTAATGCGTAGAACCCCTTATTCGGGCATTGCGAATGGAAACCCGGGCAACTTTAAACTAACGCAACAGAGGGTCTGCTTCAGTAACCCAGGGGTGATGTAACAAACTCGCTAATATAAAATTAGGCGAGGCGGATAAAACATTACGCTGCTCTCCATTATAGCAAGTCACGAGAGCGGTTTGCGCTTGCAAAATACGATGGAATTGGGGGTCTTTATGGGGATAAGATGGACTTGTTCCTCACAAAATGGTGGGCATCCTGTGATTTGCTTCATAAAAATCTTCAGATCTGCACTCCTGTCGGTAAAAGCGTCGACTAATATTTCTCGCGTATCCTCAAAATCTTGTTTTGGAAAGATGGCAATTGTCAATTGAAAGAAAATCCCTTTACACAGGATGCCACCACCCAAAACGGACTATCGATTAACGTTTGCTCCAGTTAGTGATCTGGTAACCGAGGTCCCACCTTCCAAACATTTAATCCAACGTTATTATATTAAAACCAACTTCGTCATTAGCTAATAACTCATTTGCATAAATATATATTCTTTTGCGAATGAGATACAGGACGACATGTTCATGCAGCATATCGCATCATATGTCAAACTATGTAAGTAGTCCGTTGAACCAAAACGCGTTAAGTTCCAGATAGTTTCTGTGTTACAGAGTATTTCATAAATATAATGGTAATAGTCATAAGAGCCTCTAAAGAGAGCTTGCGTGTGGGGTCGAATATTCAAAGCCAGTATTGTACGTGCGAAGAGGATAAAGAACTTACGTCGATGTTCCAATTGTAGGCTTCCAAATAATGTCTTGCGGTATCTTCCGATGTGCGGACTACTTCCATCAACTGCTTTATTAGGCGGTCGTGATCAGGCTGACTCATGTCCTCTGAGGTTCTGTACTGTTGGGCTCCACCAAATCCAAAGAACGGCGCTCAAGGCAAATAGTCTTTGGTAGTCAAATTAACAACCGCGAACAAAGCTGGCTAATACTAACCGAGAACTAGTTATTCTGGATTCCGGGAAAATGATGGGATTGCGCAGATTACTACCAGGTAACACAATTTCCTAAATGGGGAAGTGAGAGTATATAAGACTTGCTAAATGAGAACAATATACGAATGCAATGAAAAAAGGTAGTCTAAACCTATGAAAAAACCTTCAAGAATAAGCAAAAACAAAGAAAAACAAACCACCTGCAGGAAAGGCCGTAAAAAACCTGCCGCAATCACGTTAGGACATATCCATTTAACATTACTTAAATTGTAATTTACAAGACTCTTAAGAAGCCTAAAACTGGACAGTAAATACGTTTGCGGCCAGGTGTGACAGGATAGAAAGGCGAGAGACGGGAGGGCGGACAACAAACAAGGACAATGCAAATAGGAGCAAATGCCATGGCCACCCCAACTCCGCCACCTCTACACACTCGGCTAATTAATGAGGAAAAACCTATGCCACCATGACAACAATTACTGACCCACGCAATGCAGCGCACTGGAAGTCAGCCTCATCCAGTTCACAATGGAGGCAGAGGTCAACAACCAACTAGCGTTGCTAGACGTCCTGGTCCACGGTTATATCGTCGGAAGCCTATAGAAGAAGGCATACCGAAAGGACACCAACGCACGTCAGGTCCTCACTTACTACTGTAACCACTCGTTGTGCCACAATCGTAGCTGTGTGCGAACTCTTTACAAGAGGTCGGAAACTCATTGCAGTGAGGCAGTCGACAAAGCAGCCAAACTCCATTATCTTCGGTGGATTTTTATCTCCAATGATAACCCTCGCAGTTTCATCGAAAGTAGCAGACAACCAAAGAAAGCTATAAGGCTACGGACAGGACATTCAAAAGTGCGGAGAGCACTACCGTATATCGAGAACGTATCCGAAGCAGTCGCTCATCCCTTACAATCACTGGGGATCGTCGACGCCCAAGACCTCAGGCGCCAATAAGACGCCTCGTCGTGAAACTCAAGGCCCCTCAGTCACGAGGCGAAGTAGCGAATATGGTCCACCATGTCCAGTGCAGTTCCTGTGAGGCGAACGACGTTGGAGAGACCTACATGGGTGAGCATGCAAGGGCGGTGACGAGGATGGACCAACTTTCGCTGATGGCGGAACACTGTGCTGCCTCTGGACACACTTTCGCCTTCCAGAACGCTGAAATCCCAGGCCGAGGCACCGACCAGACAGGCAGGGGCACGATCAAAGCCTGGCACACCATACCGACTTTCATCAACCGCTGAATGATTCTCTCGGCGGCTTACCAGGCCTTACGAGTGCGGTTTAATCAACGGACTAAAAGGCAGGAAGTCAGGAACAAAAACCTAAGTGGACACAGTTCGCGCCCAAACACCGCTGACGAGGTCACCAGCCCGATAAGCAAGGAAACATAGGCAACAGTTCAACAACAACCGAGGTGCACACGGGCAGACGCAAACGAGGGAAAATTACGAGAAACGCTGATCAGGCACAACAAATGCTGGCAGTGCAGACGAGGCCAATGATTGTTGCCATCCCGACACAGCTCCCCGACGAGAGAGAAAGGGACACACCAGCAGGACAGCAATTAACTTCTCCCCCGCAGCACATCCTGCACGAATAAGAGTATGAACGACAGCACGTCGGCGTGCTCAGCACCCATAAATACTGTGAGGCGCCGTACAGAACCTACCACCAACGATGGAAGCTTGATTGTTTTAGAAACGTCAGGATGCTAAATGTACGGTTCCTGAGATCGCCCCTTTCTCATTTATCTACAGGGACGTGCATTTTCGCCTCAATTGGCAATATATATGGTGCGATTATCTTTCTCGCAGTATTCATTTCGTCTGACTACGCGCTGGTGTTACCGACTTGAAAATTCACGAGTGTATGTGGATTTTGCGACGCGCCTTCTCCTTTACATATATATATATATATATCGTGTATATCATCCGCCGAGGAAGACGAAGAAGAGAAATCGATTTCATGGACCAGGTTGTATTCAGACTGACGTTTCGGAAACACACTCGTTTCCATCATCAGAGTCGTGCGCTGACGTTTCCTGCTGGCCTTGATCTGTTGAGCCTTGCCGCCTGCCTCGTATTATAACCGTGCACAATGCACGTTTGTTGACTAGCCTGCTTTCCGTTGGCTGATTGTCGCCTCCCTGATCTCAGCCATTGGTGGACTGGCGTGGCTTGTGTCCCCCTCACGCCTAACGTGGTTGCCGCTGCGTCGGCGTGCTCGTTCGCCTCCCCCTCGTCAGACGGCGGGCTGATTGGTCTTTGTTTCTCAGGCGTGGGGTTTCCGGCCTCGTGAGTACGTCCGTGAGACGGTGTGCCACGCCGGTCACGTGACATCCCGTCAGCGCCTTCTCCTCTCTCCGTGAGCGTCGGCGGTCGACCCCGTGTGGCTCTGTTCATCCGTGCCATCGGCCATGCCTGGACTGACTCGAGTCTTGCGCGGAGCGCCTGGTAGGCTGGATGTAGGTCTATGGCCCGGTTGAGTGTGCCAGTCGAGGACCAACTTTCCAGCATTAGTCTGGCCATTTTATCATTGGCTCGGCCGATCACACTCGCTTTCTCGAAGGCAAAACAGTGATTCCGCTCTAGTGTGTGGCCATACACCAACGACAGCTTATCCTTGCGATTGATTGCTAGCTGGTGCTCGTGCAATCTTGTGCCGAGGCGTTTTCCCGTTTCACCAACATACCTTGGCTGAATGAAGGCAAACAATCCCGAAACAGTGCTGTATCAATCTACCCCCCCCCAGACTCAGTCGTGCCCCTTCAGCTCGAAAATTCACGAGTACAACTCGACTTTTCCGAAGAACCTCTATTTTTCCATATATATATCATGCGCCGCTGTGCGGCTGCTGGTTGGGCTCGAGAGAGATCCCTTAAGGCACAACGGAACGAGTGAGTTCCGTATGAACGATCGGTGAGCGCCCCCTAACATTGTATATTCCCGATCGAAAACCGACATGGCAACGGACTCGTGGCCCGGTGAGTAGAGGCGTTGACTTCCAAACCAACAGGTCGCGAGTTGGAGGCTCGGGTGTTCCACACTTCGGGCTTGGGTGTGGCTGGCTGACGACGGCTAATAAGCCAGAAATGACCATTCCAGTCTCCCTTGTCTTTGTCGGTAATGCCATTCTGCCTATATATATAATTCGAAAGTGTTTTTTGTTCCCAACGCTAAAATGTAACAGCCGAGGAGCAGATCAACAGCTAAATCTCTTCAGACGCTCTTGAATTCTATGCTAACCGCATCACACCAGATGGTCTTTAAAAGTTTAACATCGTCCGAAATCGTGATAGCGCTGTAGCCCCGGTTGTTGACTCAGTCATTAATAACAAAAAGGAAAAGCAGCCGCCCTAAAAGTGCTGACTGGAAGATACCACTTGAACGGGGATAGGAGTTGACATCAAGTTATCAACGCACGCGGTTTGTGATCTCCCTGTAAGGTAATTTGCGTCATACGTCAGCAGTTTTCCTCTTATTACAATTTCAGATATTTTATAGATGAGGTTTTTGTGTGGGACGCTGCCGAGCGTCTTCCTTAGATCCGTGTGGATGACGCCAGCTCTACTCTCCTCACACAGATCACGAGTCCGTTGTTCAACAGCGAGCAACAAACTGGAAAGAAAATAGCGGCTCTACCTGAAGCCGTGCTGGAGCCGTAAGAAAATGTGATCCCCCCTAGGAACTCTGTCCTAACCGTCTTTAGTGAGATATTCATTAATTTACAACTAATGCACTTTAGGTTGAAGGACCGATGATTGTTGGCATTAAGTCGAGCTCCATCACTGTATAGCGAGTAGATATTTGCTGTATTCAATTCGGATGGCAATTTCCCCAAGCTGAATGACAAACGGATGAAATGTGCTACTGATCTGGAGAGGTCGTTTTCCAATTCTTTGGTGTACAGTGACTGGATCCTTGTTTTTAGCCGACCGTTAATATTGAAGAGTGAAATCTTGTGAATTAGTGCAGCCTGCCGCATAATTCGGAATTTATAATTCTTCTTTGCCTAACGGATGCATTTGTGACTGCATTTCGCTGGCAGTGAAATTCTTCTGGGTGTTCTTGCGAACCGGGTTGTCTGTATAACTTCTATTCTCAATTATGTTCCTTAATTTTCTTTAAAGTTCCCTTATTAATCTGGCGACAGACCGTTTTCTATACCTTCGTTGGACAACAACGACGAATTTAGTATGGTGAAACTGTCCTAAACAATTATCAGTCGTCTTCTGAATCACTTTTAAGCAAGCAGCTTTAATGCCCTGGCACAAATTCGTGTTTCATCATGTTTAAATCTGTCTTTCGTATATTCCATTGGCCTTCCATCCCCTTCTGGCTTTGAGAATAAAGCCACTATTTACACGGTAAAGTGTATAGTCATTCTTGCAGAGAGGTGCGATGGAATATACTTTGATAATGTTAGCGGAGTCCTTCGTAGAAAGTATGTGCTAGCAAATGACTCGCCGGTTCTCTCTAGATCTCCTTGATATCTTTACAGGCCGTGCCAGCGGGGCTCGATGGTAAGGCCCATTAGCTTACTACTGAAGGAAATTGGCGCCCCAAAACTGCCAGAGTTTTCCAGTTTATTGCAAGTGCATTGGAATCCCAAACAATGTAAACCCATTGATGTCTAGCCACCTCCTTAATTAAATTGAGCAACAACTCGTCAGCTGCATCCTGAATGGCTGATTGTCTGTAAAACGTCGGGAGTTCTAGTCTTCGTGGGTTATTCTCTTTTACCTTTACACATACGTATACATATTCAAGTAGCAGAGTGCGCACTCGTTAAACTATCGAAATTCTTGTCCACAGTCACCGCATCGCGGGAACAATTTTGCGGTAGTTGTGAGTTCTAGTTTTATCACACCGACTGC